CGGGCCGGATCCAGGGAAGGCAGAGCCGTCTTACTAAAGGGAGGAGATGGTTTGAAGAAAATGGGCAGCTGGGAGCCTGGGGAAGAGTCATTTAAAGTTAAGGTGTGATCACTTCCCTTTCTGTTCTCCTTAATTCTAGAAAACTCTAGAAATGCATCCAGAACTTCTGGGAAAAATTAATCTAGCCTTTCCAGACAGACCCTTAGGAAAAGTGTAGTAAAAAAAAAAAAGGAGGGGAGAGGAGGACAGAGATAAACTGGTTGTTTAGGAAGGAAAAAGCTGGAACACCAAGGTGCACCAAAATGTTGCTTTCCAAGGTGCAATATTATGATTTATAATAAGAACTATATATTTGCTCTTCCACCCATTTCCTGGCACAGAGTTCCTAAAACTCTTGGAATTTCCTGAGATGAGAGTGATCAAGTGTCTTTTGTTATGTTAAAGAGGTAATTTTTGGATCCTAGCTAAGGATGGGGGCTGGTTGCTAGGGGAACCAACACGTGATTATTGGTTTGGAACTTTCAGTCTCAGCCTCCAGGGAAGGGGAGAGGGGCTGGGGGTTGAATTCAATCATCAATGACCACTGATTTAATCAATCCTGCCTAGGTAATGAAGCCTCCAGAAAAAAACAAACAAACAAAATGGGTTCAGAAAGCTGCCAGGTTGGTGAACACAAGGAGGAACTGATAGACCGACGTGGGGAGAGGGCTTACCCATACCTTCCCTACCCATATCTTCTACTTGTCTGTTCCTGAGTTTTGTCCTTTTATAATCAACCAGTAATCTAGTAAGTAAACTGGTTTCCCTCTGTTCTCTGAGCCACTCCAGAAAATTATTAGAACCCAAGGAGGGATTGTTGGAATTTCTAATCTCTAGCTGTTTGGTCAGATGCACATGATACAATATGGACTTGTCGAAGGCGTATGAAGTGAGTGTGTGCTTGGGGGCAGTTTTGTAGGACTGAGCTCTTAATCTGTGAAATCTGAAGCTATCTCTTGGTGCATGCGTGTGTGCAGGTCTTATCTGACTCTGCACCGCAAGGACTGGAGCCCACCAGGCTCCTCTGTCCATGGGATTCTCCAGGCAAGAATACTGGAGTGGGTTGCCATGTCCTCCTCTAGGGGATCTTCCCAACCCAGGGATTGAACCCATGTCTCCTGCATCTCCTGCATTGGCAGGTGGACTCTATCATTGTAGATAGTGTCAAAATTGAGTTCAATTGTATAACACCTAGCTTCTGTAGAAGAATTGCTGAACTTGTGAGGGAACCCTCCCCCTCCCCATAAAACACATCCACCGAAGTTGGTCCCACAATCAGACATGGTTATAGGCATGTTCAGAATCAGTGCCGAGGCAGGAAGAGCCATGCAGAAGAAGTTAGGTTTGCGTGGGAACCACGTGGACTATCTCTCCCATCACGGGAGTCAGAAAAGGAACTGGGGCAGGAAGAAGCCTCAGCTCTGCAGAGCTGTCATGAGAATGACTTGGTGGGAAAAGGGCTTGATATTAAACAGGACGATTGGGGCAAGGCTTGCTGAAGTAATGTTTGAGCAAGGACCTGAGCAAAGCAAGAGACCAAGTCACACAGCTGCCTGGGAAAGGAGGATTACAGACAGAGAAAGCAGGAAGTGACAGGGCCCTGAGACAGGACCGTGTCCAGGGTGTCTGGGGAAGAGCAAGGAGGCTGGTGACGCTGCAGTGAAATGAGCACTGGAGAGGGTTCTAGAAAACAAGGTCCGAGAGGTCACAGGGATGGGGGCAGATTGTGCACGGATTCATCCTAATGCTTCAGACTTTTCCTCTGACAGAGAAAGGAAGCTGTTGGACTGTGGTGAATAGAGCAGGGTCTTGATATGACAGAGTTAACAGGTTTGTTCTTCTGCGCTGTTGAAAACAGACTAAAAGATGGAGAGGCTGAAAGCCTGGAGAGAGTATGGAGATCAAAGCTGCAATTCGAACAAGACAGTCTGGCATCTCAACCAGGATGGTGGTAGTGAAGGTGGTGAGAAGTGATTAGGTTCTGGGTGAAAAAAAGTCATAGAAATTTTCATGAAGAGCTGGAAAAAGACAGCAGCAACAGATCTCAGGGTCTTCCCAGTGTCTGAAGGATGCGCCCTGGGGATCCAGGAGACCCAGACCCGAGGCACTTTACAAGGCAAAAGAGGGCCTCCGACAAAGACAATAGCTCTGCTGCTGCCCCTTGACACCTGGGCCCCTTGGAAAAATCATTTACTTCCTCAGGACGGGAATTTCCTGAGTTTAAAACAGGAAGGACAAATGTCTGACTTGTCCCATGGCCTCAGACTGGACTCTGCTGTCTGCAAATGCTTTCTCATCCTGAGATCTCCGAGTTTGGTTCAATGCAAAACTTTGAAGGGTCTGAGATGCCACATCAAATCCAAACCTTGTTCTCTGAATAAATAAATGGTGCCGCGCTCTTATTTTTCCTCCCCTGGACTTTCCTCTGCCTACAGGACTTATGCTTGACTTGCTTCTGGTGGTGGTGGCCTCCAGGTGGGGTGAGGGAGAAATCCCCATTTGTGTTATGACTGTAGCAGCAGTTCCCCTGACAAGGCTGAGCAGAGCACCACAGGGGGCACAAACGCTGGTCACAACACATCCATAGCATTCTGACTCAGAACAGGTACCTATTTTAGAAGGCACCTACTACCCCTGTCAGTTTAGTCAAAGCACTGGATCCAGGAAAGAAAGTGTCAACCATCTCACAATCCAGGGCAGTAGGAAGGTCACAGATAAGACCAACCAGGCTGAGCATCACCAAATAGACCTTTAATAAATAAACATCTCATTTCTACTTGATTAGCACCAAAAAAATGCCATATTTAGGAATTGGGAAATGGTTAATGAAATCACACATTTTTTTTTTTTTTTTGTAGTAGGTTGCAGCTCTTTGTAGAAGGCAGGCACTCATGACTTTGGCTGTCCCATCCAAGTCACTTCTGTTCTTACAGCCCACCCCTCAGCCCCCCATGCAGGTCATAGGTCACAGGACAGCATCCCTGCCCCTGATCCTGACCACAGCTGAGCCAGGAGTTTGGAATGGGGCAGTGGTAGAGGCTGAGTTCATACTGTTCACAGGGTTCTCCAGGGAAGAATACTGGATGGGTTGTCATTTCCTTACACTTTAGCAGAACTTTTCACTATGACCCATCCATCTTGGGTGGCTCTGCACAGCATAGCTCATAGCTTCATTGAGCTACGCAAGTGCCTTCGCCACAAGGCTGTGATCCATGAAAGGGAATGAGCTCAGCCTCGGCTGCCACCCCATTCACTGGAAGCACTGTTGCCGAAACTGAAGCTCCAATACTTTGGCCAGCAGATGTGAAGATCCGACTCATTGGAAAAGACCCTGATGCTGGGAAAGATTGAAAGCAAAAGGAGAAAGGGGCGACAGAGGATGCAATGGTTAGATAGCACCACTGACTCAACGAACATGAATTTGAGCAGACTCTGGGAGATAGTGGAGGACAGACGAGCCTGGTGTGCTGCAGGTCCATGGGGTCACAAAGAGTTGGACATGACTTAGTGACTGAACAACAAGAGGTTGAGCTCAATCTCCACTGGCAGTTAAGGGAGAAATACAGGAAAGCTGGGGCTAGCACAGCAGTATTTGGGACTGGCGTGAGTGCTAGAGGGCAATTAGATGAAAACAGACAAGCAGGCAGAGAAAAACAGAACGAACAGCTGCATTGCCCCTCAGAAACAAACAGGATAAGCTCATGCTGATCAGTTCTCAGTCTCAGCTCCTGAAGTTCCTGCCCTTGGTTTCCTGAAGGAGCGACTATAGATGCGCGGTGTGACCCTCCTTCTTGTTTAACATCATTTGCATAAAATTTTCCAGTTAAGATTATACAACCATTTTGGAAAATTAAACTAGAAAATAAAAGGTATTGAATTGCATATAACCAATGTTTGTCATCCTGGGGAAGAAGTGTGTATATATGAACATCAGCTGAAAGGAAAACATAAAAATATTTTTGGTAGCCTTATGGGTGGTTATTTTCCTATATTTTTTTCAGTGTCCACAAAATTGTTAAGGTGCTCATCATTTTTGAAAGAAATAATTGGGCAATTAAAAATATATATAATATTTGAGCTGTAAGCCCCCCCCCCGCAAATGATTTACAAATTAACAGGCAACATAACTGATAAATAATCATGGACTATACAGTTATCCTGAAGTTGACAGAAATGTCTTCTTAAAAAAGTTAAATACACTCGTTTGTGTCATGTGGTCCCTTGAAATCATGTCCACATCAGTTCTTTCATATTTTTTATGACACGAAAAATCACATACTGGATTCACCTGTTTGTTAATTTCAGATTTTTTTCACTTTAGTTATTCACAGGCAGGGCTCCTGGTGGACACAGCATCAGGTTTCTCAGAGACCTCAAATACTCAGGTTTGTAACGCTAAACTTGAGCTTGTACACTCAAATACTTGTAAGCCAGAAAAGTGTTCGGTTCTGAATTTACTGCATACCTACAACACTAGACACAAATCCAGAACCTCTCCCCAGCCTGACCCCACAGCAACTTTCCTTTCCTGTGCTGATCAGCCTTACTTATGCTTCTAGCATAGATCCTGCCATCAACCCTCTTAGGTTCCGAAGTCCCTGTTACTGGGAAGACTCTTGGTACCGCTGAAGGTTAGTGCTGCTGAGGACTGGGGTCAGCTGCTCCAATCTATTCATTTTACAGACAAAAGCACTGTGTCCAGAGAGGAGAAAGGACCATTTCAGGGCATCACACACATTTGTGTGTGATGAGTGCAAAGGTCTTTCCAGCCCATCTAGAGTTGGTTTTGATATCACTGGGGAAGGGAATTTAGAGCCTTGGCAATGAGCATGGCCTCAGAGTTGTCCCCTCGTGGTCTTCTTTGAACACTGTTCCAGGAAAAGATCACGTCTGAAACTATTTCCTTCCCATCTCTGAGACGTCACAGACACCTGTTCAGAAAAGCCTGCAGGGGTCCTTACCTCCAGAGGGCGTGCCAGAGACTCTCCTAAGGAATTTAACCCACTCCTCCATTTCCGCCTGGGAGCTGGCCATGAGGACATAGGAGTCCTGTCCTGTACGACTCTGGTCACATGAGGCTGGAGGAAGAAGTAACACTGATGAAAGTCTTACATTTGTTAGGGACTAGAGCAAGGGGCAGCAAGGGGAAGTCAAGCCTGAATCGCGTCTTTGGTCCAGTTAAACAATCAGTCCAACAACACGGAAGCATCTACTTATTCCCAGAAGAACTGAGTATCTATGCACCTTCGCTGTTTTCGCTGAAACTCCCAATTCTATAGATGAGTCACTGAACTCAGTGGTTTGCATTTGAGTTGATTTGGGCTGAGATCTGCTCTTTTGAATGACAGAAGCCATTTCCTACCAAAAGTAAGAGGAAGTGTGAGGGGCAATGTCAGTACTAGAGGAGACAGGCTCTGCCCGTACAAGTTTTGAAGACTTCAGTCTATCACGCCAGTCATGGATACTTTCTTAGGCTCCCCTGAGCTCAGCTGTGGGTGTGGGAAAGGAAACAGCGACTCAAGAGGGAGAGACAGTGAGCACACAGGTGTCTGTTGTGAATCAGTGCTTCTTGTTCAGCATTGCTGCTCTCCTGCCTGCACAAGACATTGCAAACAGTGGCTCCTGATACATAGTTGACAGACAAATGAAGTCTGTTAGGACTTTATTTACTGTTTTTGCTTTAAACCCAATATTATAGACATACGTCTATAGTATGTCTTGGGTTGGAGTTGTCAAATGGACAAAAGGATAGAGGAAATGACAAGGGGGCAGAGGAGGGACAGGAGACCGAGACAAAGAATGAGAGAAAGAGACAAACAGAGAAAAGTGGGAGAGAGAAGGAGAGGCGTAGGAGAGGCAACCCATCAAACGTAGGTCTTAAAAACAACAAGAAAATAAGGGCAATTCCTTTCAGTGACAAGATACCATTAAATCTCAAATTTTTCTAGGGGATATCAACACATTCTTTTCAAAATATTAGGGCATTTCCTTCTAATAGAGTTTGTTCTACTACCATATGACCCAGAAATTCCACTCCTGGGTATTTATCAAAAAAACAAAACAAAAACACTAATTTGAAAAGATGCAAATACTTCAATGTTCATAGCAGCATTTACAATTACCAAGATATGGAAGCAACTTAAACATCCATCAACAGAATAATGGATAAAGGAAATGTGGTATATACATACAATGGGATACTACTCAGCCATAAAAAAAGTATGAAATTCTGTCATTTGCAGCAAGATGGATGAACTTGGAGGGCGTTATACAAAGTAAAATAAGTCAGAGAAAGATAATTGTTGTATGATATTGCTTACAGATAACATCTAAAAAATACAACAGACTAGTGGATATAATAAAAAAAAAAGAGAAGCAAACTCATAGATGTAGAAAACAAACTAGTGGTCACTAGTAGGGAGAAGGAAGTAGAGAGAGATAATAAGGGGTAGAGGATTAAGTGGGACAAACTATTGGGTATAAAATAAGCTACAAGGATATATTGTACAACATGGGGAAGATGGCCAATATTTTATAATAGCTATATATGGAGTACAGCCTTTAGAAATTGTGAATCACTATATTGAACACCTATAATTTACATAATAATGTACATCCTATAAGTTCAATTTCTTTTAGATGTCAGAAAACAGTCCCAATTTTATTTGTTTTTTCATTTACTATTTTTTTATTTGAGTATCATTGCTTTATAATCTTGTGTTAGTTTCTGCTGTATAGCAGAGTGAATCAGCTGTACGTATACATATATCCCCCTTTCTAGCCTCCCTCCCCCCACCCCACACCCCACCCCCCTAGGTCACCACAGAGCACTGGGCTGAGTACCCCCCTGTGTCATACAGCAGCCTTCCACTGACTATCTATTTAACACACGTTCGTGTGCACATGTCAGTGCTTCTCTCCCAAGCCATCCCACCCTCCCCCTCCTCCACTGTGTCCACATGTCCCTTCTCTACGTCTGTGTCTCTATTCCTGCCCGGCACTGGGTTCATCTGTTTTAAAAAAACTTTTAAAAAGAACCTGTTATATCTGCCCAGCTGGGCCCAAACCTGTATTTTCTTTCATAGCAAGAGAATACTTCCAAGGTTCCTCTGTTTCCAGTCTCTTGAACCCACCATAAAATTACCCAGTTTCACTTTTTTTATGCTTTGGAAAAACCTGATTCTGTAGCCTGGCATGCCACAGTCCATGGAGTCGCAAAGAGTCAGACATGACTTAGTGACTCAACAATGACAACAAACCTGATTCTGAATCCATCTTATCATTGGGTCATCAACAGCTCTTCTGGTCTCAGTCCATGGAAGCACTGGCTATTGAGGAACATCCAGATATTTCCAGACGTAAAATGGGCAGTAAAAAGCCCTCGGGGCCGAACTAAAGAATCCCAAAGGGATCACCATATCCCTTTGAAGTAGAACAAGACTCTACTATCATTTCTGCTCCACAGATAAATGAAGCCCAGAGGTGCAACGGGCCTTGCCCATTGGTACCCAGTAAGTGCTAAGTCACTTCAGTCATGTTCAACTATTTGCAACTCTATGGACTATAGCCCACCAGGCTCCTCCTCACCCTGGGGTTTTCCAGGCAAGAATACTGGAGTGGGTTGCCATTTCCTACTCTAGGGGATCATCCCGACTCAGGGATCAAACCCACGTGTCTTCTATCACCTGCATTGGCAGGCAGCTTCTTTACCACTAGCACCACGTGGGAAGCCCATTAAGTTACCCAGTAAGTTACCACCAAACTCAGGGCAAGGCTACAGATCTTTCTCTCAAGAGTCTCCATCAGCCCATAGTGCTTCAAATTTGACCTTGGCCAAAATTCATCTGGTGTCTTCCATCATGCCTACACTCCAGTCTGAGAGAACATGCCTTTCAGTTCACACTCATTCCTGAGAGACTCATTTGGTTGCATCATGGCAACAATTAAGAAATACCCAGATCTTGATGTTTCTAAATAACCAGAGCTTCTATGACTGATCTTTCTGATCAGAAGAGCTGATGACAAGATGGATTCAGAAGTAGGTTATCTCAAACGCTAAGGAAAGTGAGGCTGAGTGAGATTAAGATAGATTTGAGAGACAAGAACCTCAGAGAATTTGAAAGTTCTTGTTGCCCTACAAATAAATGAGTGTTTAGACACACATCGGTGCTGGGAAGAGCTGTCTTTGAGAGAAACTGTTTGACATTAATACAAAGCCCAAGAACAGCAGCTCTGCCCTCAGACACATACTTTCTCTGATTTAAACAGTGTGTTCAGCATGTGTCACCTAATGGACTGTTTCTCTTGTTAGAGAGGAACCTGCCTTCTTTTCTTCCCTTGCCTAAGGAACTCCTAGCCAGCCTTTCAAGTCAAAGTTTAATTGCTCAGTCGTGTCCAACTCTTTGTGACCTCCTGGACTGTAGCCCGCCAGGCTCCTCTGTCCACAGAATTCTCCAGGTAAGAATACTAGAGTGGGTACCATTACCTTCTCCAGGGGATCTTCCCTACCCAGCAGTCAAACTCCGGGTCTCCCTCGTTGCAAGTGGATTCTTTACCATTGGAGCATTCAGAGAAGCCCATCCTTTAAAATCTAGTACAAATGATACTTTCTCTGGGGATGCTTCCTTCACATCTCCCCTCCCACTCCAAATCTAGTGGGGAGTCTTTTTTAAAAATCTCTTAACATTCTATCCTTACCTCTATGGAAGCAGTAGCTAAATTATCCTGAACATTGTTTTCCTCATCATTAAAACTGAATTAACAACTTAATACTAAGACAAAAATACGAAGCTGAAGCCTTGATCTTCTACATGCACAAATCTCAGGAAAGCCAGCTTTCCTGTTGTTTGCATGAAAACTTTGGAGTCAACCTTGACTTCTCTTTGCTACATCTAATCTGTCAGCAAATGAAGTACTCTCTGCCTTCAAAATGTGTCCAGAAATTGCTTATTTCCCACCCCCTTCATCGCCTCTATAACTCAATTGTATAATTGCAATAACCTCCTCTGCTGCTCCTGCTATGTCTTTGCCCCTTTTTAGCCTCAACTCAAAAGAGTTTTAAAACAAAAGTCAGATCATGTTACTTCTCCGATCAAACCTCCCAATGGCTTTCCATCCTTCCATCACAAAAATCAAACATTGTACAGTTACCAACCACTGCCTGTGAAACTTGGGCCCACCCCTGACCAAATCGCCTCCTCTTCTCCCCTCTCAGCACTCCACTGTAACCACCTTGGCCTCGTTGCTGTTTCCTGAACGAGAGAAATAGGCTCAGAGACTTGGCACCGGCTGCTCCTTTCCCTGGAATGCTCTTCCTCCAGATACACACTTGGCTCATGCCTTCACTTCCTTCAGATCTTGGCTCAAAATAAGTCACCTTCTCAGTGATGTCTATTCTGCCTGCTCTCCTTCAAATGATGAATCAACAGTTGCCATCCCCACCTCATCCAGAACTCCCTCTCTCTTAATTTGCTTTCTTCTTATAGTACTGATCCCATCATAAAACTATACAATGTATTCATTTATTTGGCTTGTTGTCAGTCTCCCCCCCATTGATTCTAAGCTGCTTACAGGCTGTTTCATTGATTGCTGGGTTCCAAGTTCCTACATAGCAAGTGCTCAATAAATTTGGTGTCACATCTCAGAAAGCAGTATGAGAATTAAATCCTACATATTCCACAAAAGGAATTATCCCCCTCTACCTGATGATCCCCTTTGGGTGGGAGACTTATTCTGCTTGAGTTAAGTAGGGAAGGGAAGCCTGCCTCAAATCTTTGCTTGCTCCAAATAAAGAAAAGCAGAGCATAGCAACAGTGGAACTCTTCTCTGTGGGCTTTCTACAGCTAACACTGGTGATCAGAGAGAGGGGGCCCTGATTAGGAAGCCATTTCTTATGCCAGGGTTGGCCCCTGAGAATCATCTCCTACAAAAAGATGACCAAAAAAAGGAACTAAAAATTCTCTACATTGTAACAGAAAGCATTGTCTCATTTCAGGTTGGGTGAATGATGACATGTTTGGGAAAATGGCTCCCTACCTTACTATTGCTTTATAAGTGTTGTTTTTCCTTATGTGATGAGTGTGTGTGCACCTACTTACATGTGTGAATCTGCCTAAGAACTGCCCCAGCAGCCCAAGAGACAACTGCAAATGTAAGTTACGATGAGAGGACAGATCTTCACCCTACGCTAGCACAGCAGTGTCCAAAGGCGCTGGATTCGTGGTGCAAAGCCCACAGTAAATTTCTAGTTGGAGCTCTCAGTAGGGTCACCCTATATTGAAAAATCAGGCTATGGGACACAAGTTATCATAAGTGGCTGTGTCTCATGATTTGTGCTGGGAAAGGGGCCCTAGACAGAGAATAAACTGTGTGGGAAAGGGGTGGAGTTCTCATAGAAAGAAGAGATTGGAAAAGTAGGCTCTTCCTTTCAGAAGGAAGAAAAAAGGATAGCTCCCCAGATAAAAATCAAGGGAAGGCCCATGAGGTGGCCACTTAGGAAGAGCTGAACTTTAAAAAAAAAATCCTATTTTTCTTTGTTTTCTATAAACAGTCATAGCCAGTTTGGAGAATTGATTTCTGAATTTTACAATTTCCTCTAGTTATTGCCAAAACATCAAACACTGACATGACACTGTTACCAGGCACTATACCAAGTGTGACATATATATTTGTTTACTTAATCCTCACAATCATCATCACTGTCCCTATTTCACAGGTAAAGAAACAGAGGCAAGGAGAAATTAAATAATTAAATGCAATAACTGATCACAATTACACACATAGCAGGGGATTCCCTGATGGTTCAGCTGGTAAAGAATCTGCTTGCAATGCAGGAGACCCAGGTTCAATCCCTGGGTCAGGAAGATCCTCTGGAGAAGGGAAAGGCAATCCACTCCAGTATTCTTGCCTGGAGAATTCCATGGACCTGGTGAGGTCACAAAGAGTTGAACATGACTGAGCAACTTTCACTTTACTCTGTCATACACAGAGCGAATGGCAGGGCCAGATGTGGCCCCAGGCAGGCTGGCTCCAGATGGTGCACGTCTACCGTCTCTGCTGTACCCTTCCCCCTCAAGTTTCTTATGCATATGGCTGATTTGTGTGAGGGTTAAAAAGAAGAATTAAGGGAAGGGGCACTCAAGGGACTTGGGGCCTCTCCTGCTGTGTCACCACGGCAGCAGCAAAATCTGGCTCCAGAGCTAGACCAGCAGCCCTGGAGTTCCTGGTGGGGCAAGAGATGGGCAGAAGCAGCTTCCGTGTGACACATCAACTCCCCTTGAGACGAACTGAGACAAATACCCCTGTTCCCTACATGCGTTCGAGGACGGTAACTCTTGATTAGAAAGAGGCATCTCCAGTGTGCTGTTAACTTCTGTAATAGGTGAATTACAGCACCCGACACATAATAAGTACTCAGGAAGTTGAAGCTGTCATTTCTTATCAGGTCACATTGCACCATATGAGACTGCTGACTATCGACCATTTTTGACCTACCAACACGGCAGTTTCTCATGGTTCGATTTATACTTTGTTCCTTTTATTGTCCCACTCACCTTCAAAGCTAAGCTCCTTTTCATGTTGTTGCTTAGTTGCTAAGTCGAGTTCAACATTTTTGCCACCCCATGGACTGTAGCTTCCCAAGCTCCTCTATCCATGGGATTTCCCAGGCAAGAATACCGGAGTGGGTTGCCATTTCCTTCTCCAGGGGATCTTCCTAACCAAGGAATCAATCCTGTGTCTCCTGCATTGGCAGGCAGATTCTTTACCAACCACTGAGCCACCAGAGAATCTCCCTTTTAGTTAGCGAGGGTGATATACTTTCAGATCAGTGTCCCAGTGCCTAGTGAATACCTGGCTCCAAGCAGGTGCCCATGAAATGCTTAGAGAGCTGAATCAGATGCACATCCACTTAATTTCCATGTTATCAATGAACTAGTATATCATTAACTATGTAGAGAACTATTATGCATTCTTACTAGGTTGGTTGGCTAGCTGGTTGACAGACTCACTGAATATAGCCTTGACTTCTGGGATCCGAAATAACACAGGAATGTAAGGAACATCTCTCCCACTTATTGTCACCTACCTGGAATGACTTCGAAGACAAACTTCCCCGCTTCTTCTGGATTTGTGGCGATCTCCTTGATTGTACTTCCAGGTAGATACATGCAGCCCTGAAAGATTGAAAGTGAGGCCTTTAAGATAAACAGAAATGTCATCAGCTTCGAACTAAACTTAAGTTGGAGGACAGGCAGGATAGTGATGGGCTGGTGGAGAGGAACATGAAAGCTAGCAACTCAGCTTCAAACAGGGCCCTTCGGCTGTTCAGACCTTAGTCAAATTAAGTGGCAGCTATGTGAGCACAAGGGAGGTGCCTGAGGAGACAAAGAGGACAAGGTCTTGACCAGAGAATGAGCTGAGAGGGTGCCATCAACAACCTGTGTCTCTTCCTACATTTCCAAGAGCCCAAATTCATGGCCAAATCAGACATCTGATCTCTGTGGAGGCCATGTGGAGACTGGGGGAATCCTACCACCTGCCAGGTCACCTGAGGGGGCACTGAGGACTGAACCAGGGTCATCAGGGAGATGCAGTACTCAGCAGCAAGAGCTTCTAAGCAGCACACTCCAGGAGTCTGTGCCTTTGCTAAGCACTTCCACTGTGTATTATTCACTTAGTCCTTTCATCAATTCTCCAAGCAAAGTATTGCTACACAAATTCACAAGTGAGGAAATGGGATCAGAATGGTTCTGTGATTTGCCCAATGTCACCGAGCTAGGAAGTGGCAGAAATTCACCTCAGAAGTGAGTTCACAGCCATCACAGCTGAGGTGCTGAGACCCTTCAGCATAATGTCCCTTGAAGGGACAGGGGAGAAGGATCATGGATTCCCGGGGCGGGCAGTGGGGGTAGTTGAAGAGTGAGGGTGGAACTTGTGACCTTACACATGAACATGTCATCAGAAAAACAAGTCACTTCCACCACGTGTACACTCACTCTTTTACCACTGACAGTGCACAGTCACGTGCAGTATCTCCTTAGACCTCAGAACAACCCCCAAAGCAGGGCAGGATGACCACACCCATTTTACAGATGAGGAAACCAATGTTTTCAAAGTCTAAGTAACTGCAGGAAAGGACATAACTAATTTGTCCTGGAGTTACTCACTCATAATTTACATCTCACTGATTGTAATAGGTACTATATCTGATTCAGAGTTGAGTAAACAGGGACATCTTATTTCTAGAACAAACCACGGATGAAAGGATTGGCAACAGAGAAGCTATAAAGGAAGAGTCTTAAGCAACTCATATCAGCTCAGAATCCCGGAAGAATAAATGTTCCTTGGGGGTCTAGAAATGAAAATGTCTAAGACTGAGAAACAGAGTAGAAAAAAACAAGAAGAAGAGGAAGAGGAGGGGGAGGAGAGAAAGGGGAAGAGGAGAAGGAGGGGGAGGAGGGAGGCAGGGGAAGAAGGAAAATAAAAAATATCTGCCTATACTTCTCTAAAATTATTATTTAAAAATAGCCACCACCTACACACTCCTCATTATCTTTAAATATCAGTGGCCTCAGGAAAAAATTGACCCTGAGATTATGCTGCTGGTAGTACATGCAGGACTTTTAACACAGATCCCAGCACCAAGTAACTGTTCAATAAATGGTACTTACATATTTTGTATTTTATTTTTACTCTATTTGGATTAAATTTATCAAATAATAGTTTAGAGATGTACTTAGGAGAGACAGATACCTCTGAAATGACATTTTATTTTACTTCTTATTAGGTAGTGCTCAATTAAATTAAATAACCAAAAAACAAGTGATATGAACTTTCAATGAAATATTTTGCATTAAAAATATAGTACTATTCAGAATTCATCATTTTCTAATTCTTTTTTCTTTTTTTTTTCTTGCAGTTCTCCTGAGACACAAGTGACATACCACACTGTCCAAGTTCAAGGTACACAGCACAATAATTTGAGCCACAAACATCATGAAATGATCACTGTAATAAGTCTGGTGAACATCCATCATCTCATATAAATATAAAAAAAATTTCTATTTGCCTAATGATTTGCTATATTTTACTATCATTTTTCTTCATATAGTTATTTACACTTAACCAATTTGTGTGGTAGAAATAGCATCTAACACTGTGCTACTGTACTTCCGTTCTCAATTCTGAGTTCAGGGATGCTGGTAGCTTGAATCAGCCATGGTGGGAGTATTTACACCACAGAAATTGGCAAGTGCTTCATCCAAAATAGTTCCTCTACCAGCAGGCTGTCAGTTAAATACTTCCCAGCATGCCCCCGATAGACAACCATCTGTTCTGACTTCAGAGAAAGCAGATGAAGCAACGGGACAGCTACGCCGGGATTGTCTAAAACCATCATGGTAGCAGAGACTTGAGAGCAATTCACTGAGATTTTGTTTTAAACAACTTCCTTGACAAAGAAACTTTTGGAATGAGTTATAGAAAACTAGGTCATGGACTTACAGGGCATTATACTGTTAGAGCTGGACAGACCTTTCTGAGAACTCAGAGGAAAAAATGTACAGACTGCCTTCTCCCAAACCCCCCCTGGAAGAGCATAAATAAGAGTCCATTACACAGGGCTCTGTAATTTACTTAATCACTCTCCTTTGTCAGACACTTCATCCAATGTTTCTCATTACAAACAGCACTGCACATATCTGATTTCTTTTGAAGAGCTTCTTAAAACCAGAATGACAGGGTCATTCTGGATATGATATTTTTGGCTCTTAGAAATCTAGCCAAATTGCTTTCTAGAAAGGCTGCACGTACTCATCATCAGTATACATGAGGGCCTTTTTCATATCATTGCACTAATATGATTGCAGCATTTTTGTGTCTTGAGTTTTTAGGGATGTGTGTTCTTTTTAAATTTATAACTAATTTATATTTTAGTCATAAAGAAAGAGAAAATTAAAGTTTTGTGTAACTCCAGCACTCAGATAACTCAGTTAACACCTCTGTGTATTTCTTTCCAAGTCTTTTCCCATAAATTACAGATTCATGATTCTTTTTTCCCTCAAAAATGGGATTAGCATATAAATCATCCTCTGCTGTTAACTGCTTTTTTCAAAGCAATTAAATTATCAATGTCTTTCATTTTCAAAAAGTATCAATTTCAGCGTCAACAACTGAATTATATTCTATTGTATAAATATATAGAAGTTCCCTGATATAACTTAGCCCCTTTTGCTATATATTCTTTCTTTGTCACTATTATAAACCCCTACATTAGGAATGCAGGATCAAAGAATTTGCATTTTTAAAGAGGCATATTACTCTCCACAAAGGTTGTACAGATTCTCATTTCTACCAATTGTGCATGAGAATTCCTGTTCCCTAGTCTTCACTAATATTGGAATTTCTAGAAAATCTCTGCCGGTTTTATAAAAGGACAATGATATCTCATTAACTTCCATTGCATGTCTTTAATTACGACTGAGAGTGACATTTTTTACATATGCCTTTTGGCTATTACATTTCTTTGGGAAATTGTCTGTTTAAGTCCTTTGCTCATTTTCCTATTGCTGTTTCTTATAGGTTTGAGAGTACTTTAGATATGAACAATATTTACCAGATGTATATGAATGGTTTTTCCTGTTTATTCCTTGCCTTTTCACCTTATTATTTTGGGTTTTAAGGCAGAGACATTTCTATTTATGCAATTAAAATCAGCTTAAGAAACTAAAATGTGCTTAAGAAGCACCTGCTTCCCAAAGATCATGCAGGGAATTACACTTTCTTCTCAGATCTTTATGAACTTGTTTTCACATGTAAGTCTTTAACCCATCCAGCATCATGAATGGTGTGAAACATAGGGTGGAAATAGACCTTTATTTTTTCCCATGAATTTAGTTCATATCTTTCACTTCACTTCAAGATATTTGCAATGTCTATGAATCCCAAAACAATGTTAAATGGTAGTATAATAAAAATTCTTCAGTTTGTATAGATTTTTCTTTATCTTAATGAAATAATGATGGATATATGAAAAGTTTACAAGATGTCCACTTAATTCTTATTTGTTTCGGTAATATAGAAACATCAGCCCAAATTCTCAACTAATTTCTAGGATGAAATTGGTTAAAAAATTATAGAATGTCCACTCAAGAAATTATTTTGCCACCACTAAGAATTACATTGTAGAAGAATATTTAATAATAAGGGACAATATTCATGACATATTGTTAATTTTTAATTAAAATATTATTATACTAATTTTGCATTTAGAATAGATATTTCTAAATGTGTATGCATAGGAAAAACTGGAAGAATTGAGGATTTGGGTAGCTATTTCTTCCTGATTGGATAATTTTTATTTTCTACTTTCTGATTTTCTGCATCCTCCAAATTTCCTACCATGTTCCCATATGGCCTTTGTAGTCAAAATGTTCATACCCATATAATGTAAAATATTCTAAGAAACTATATTTTATTACTAAAAGCTTTTTACAAAAACTTTTTATATCTGAAATGAGTTTTGAATTTTATCAGATTCTCTTTTCAGCTGTCTCTTTAGGGGTTGTGTAATTTTTCTCATTTGACTTCTTGATCTTGACTTATTGGCTTGATATATTAACAGGTTTCCTAAAAAAATAAGTCACACTTGTCATCCTAGAGGCAGCTTTACTAATTTAATCCTGAGAGGATTCTGAGTTTCCTCCTCCCAAGGTAAGGGAGAAAAGTTAGGACCACCAATAATTTATTTCACCCTTTGACATCAGTTTATGTTTTTACAAAACAACTTTTTACATGTGCTTCATATAATCCTGTGACAGATGACTGTCTCACTTTACAAAAGAAGAAAGAGGGGTCTAGAAAAATTAAATAATTACATGGCTGGATGGTAGTAGAACCAAACATAAGCTCCCCCCACTACACCTCAGTGAAGTAAGTCTCACTGAGCTGCCCTTTCTGCTATTTTGAGAAGGCCGACGCATTGCTATCTCCCTCCCTCTTTGCAGATGGGAAGACTTCCTTCCTCACTATTAATGCACTAGGAATTCCATCTTAGCCTGTAGTTGCTTGACTCTGATGCGGTCTGTTTGTCAAGTGAAGAAAGCCTGGTTACTACAGACAGGACACTGATCAAGAACTCAGTCAGTGATGGGGTCTCCAGGGCTTCTCCAGCCTCTGAAGGAACAAACACTCCCAGCCCTCTGGGTGGAGGGCCAACCAGGCACTGCCCATGTGTCAGAGCCGCAAGCCTGCCCTTAGAGAGAACCGCCCTCTTCCAAAAGAACCTTCTCGTTTCTTTACATACCCTGTCACCCACTTCCAATATCTTCACTCTTCTTGGGGATTTTTTCCCTGCCTCCAGAAGGTTCTAGAGTCTATTCTCCCTAGTAAACCCCTTCCGGCCAAGCCTACTCCTTCCCCTCCACCACTCTAGGAGAGGGTGTCCAGCCCTCCTGGTTGCCTTAAGACATACAATTTACACCTGGGGCCTCTCAGCTGTTACTAACATCTTTTGCTCTCATTCACCACAATGGCCATGAGGCCAGGAGAAGAGACCCAAGCCCAAGGTTTAGGATCAAAGCCCTCTCTAGCCCCATCCACTCCACCTGGAAGTCCCGTTTACTGTACTTTCAAAGTATATCAGGCAATCTGGTCATTTTCCTGCAGCCCCCAACTCCTATTGAGATTTTAAACATTATAGCCTCTCATCTAAATCATCCTTATGCCTCTCCACTTCCGCCTTGGATCTATTTTGGAGCGTGGTAGCGCTTTTTACAACATCTTTTTACAACACACACCAAGAATGACCCCTTTCTGCTGGAAACCTTGTTAGGCCTCCCATTTACCTCAGTATAAATGCTCAAGTCCTCACAGAGGCCTACCACCCCCTTTGCAGTTTGCACCCCCACCTCCTGCCCTCTCCTCTCTGACTTCATCCCCTCTGATACTCTCATTCTCTAACTCTTACATCCCCACTCTGCCCTGCTTGCTATTTCTCACGTATATCAGACATACTCTATCTCAGGCCTCAGGCCTCAGGGCCTTTGCACCGGCTGTCTCTGCCACCTGGAGTGCTATTTCCCCAGAGATCTGCTTGGCCAATTACCACTCCTCCTTAATCTTTGCTCAGATGTCCCCCTCTTCATGAAATCATTCTGACCACCCTTCTTGAAATAGTACCACCTCCCTCAAATGACCAATCTCCCTAGCCCACTCTATCTTTTCCTCATAGAAATAGTCATTTTCTAACAAACCACATACTTTTCTTAATGATTATGTTTATTTTCTGTCTTCCCCACCCCATCTTCTAAGTTTCACATGGCAGGGTTTTGTTTTTTTTAATCTGTTTTACTCACTGGGGTTATTTCAATTCCCCAGAACAGTGCCTGGTGCAAAGTAGATGCTCAACAAATACTGAATGAACAGACAAATACATCAAAATCTCAGACCAATTTTCCTGAACCCAAATCAACTCTCCCTGAGCCCTTGTGCTCTGCATCCCCATCAAGATGGGGACTCCGCCGTCACGGAGTCCCCTTCGCTGTTCACCTAAAACTATCACAGCATTGTTAATCGGCTATACCCCAAAACAAAATAAAAAGTTAAAAAGAAAAGGCCATAGCTGCCAGGCTTGACTTAGTGCTGTGTTTAGGAAGAGCCCCAGTGATCATCTTGGGGCTCCGTGGGGGATCATCACCCTGTCATCTCTGAAGCCCAGTTTATGTTATCTTGACAAGGGTGAGAAAGGCAGAGAGAAGTCCTTTGGAATGGACAGGATGTTATCCCAGTGAGAAGCCCCCTGGGAGTTTACAGGACTCTGCGGCGCTCTGTCCGCCTCCCACGCCCGGGAGGGGACCGCTGTAGGAAGCAGGGCCAATAGCCTGGTTGGTACCTGCGGCTTTACGTCCTCCTCGTCCTTGTAGTAACAGAGCTGCTGCGCCCTCAGCACGAAGTACCTCTGTTGCCAGTTTTTCACGATGGACCTCTGCTTCTTCAGCCAGCCCATCTTGATGGGTCTTTCCAGCGGGTTGGGGGTGGATGCAGGGTGAAAGGCCGCCATCTGCTCTCCGGTCATCACGCTCCTTGACCGAGCTGTAGAGAGGGACAGACAGGCGGGCTGACCTGGACTGTGAGCAGTGTGCAGGGAGGGCCCGGGAGGCACTGGGCCCCAGCCAGGCCGGGCTTAGGGGTCCAGATCTGCTGCAGAGAGGATGCCCCGGGACCCAGCGAACCAGCGGAGGGGCCCACTCCCACCAGCGCCGGCCCTGGGGCTCTCCACCCGCAAGGTCCGGCAGCTGGAGTCCGCTCCCTCCTTCTACAAAGCCAGAGATTGGCTGGAGCCGTCTGAAGAGGAAGTGGCCGCAGCATCTGACAAAAGGTGCTTCCTTTTTCCTGCGTGGGAGTCAATATCTGACAAGAGAGGGGAGAAAATAGTGCCTCTTGCTCTCAGGGTTCAGGGTGAGTCCCACGCAGCTGCAGAGCAGTCAGAAGCTGCCTGACTTCTTCCACAGAAGGAGTTGCTGTGTTCCCCAATCTCACTGTCTGGTTCTGCCCTGCCCCGGCTGCGCCCGAAAGCCCCTCACCCCTGACCTTACAGCCACCATGCAGGATGCGGGCACCTGCCAAATCCTTCTGCCCAGGGTCGTCAAGTACTTTCTGTCCCCCTGCCCACTGGGCGTGTTCACAGCCCTTTCTGCTGGACCAAGGGCCTCCCTGTGGCTGCCTTCCCATTACCCTTTCTGTTGGGCTGCCCCTCCCGCGTGGCTGACAGCATACAAGCATTTGAAAGGAACATGAGTCTGCCAACAGGACACAGAAGCAGAATTTGAATCCAGACCCTTCAACCCACTGCACTGTGTAGTTTCTTTTTGTTTTCACACAAGAGCTCTGCATGTCATCAGATTAGGTCCAGGTGACCACAGCTTGTCTCCATGGTAATGCCCACTGAGGATAACTCTCCTCTTCCCTCCTTTCCACAGCAATCGATCAGCCAACCTGGGGTCCCCCACAGGTCAGCATGTCCCTTCTCTGTTTCTGCCCTTCCTTCTTTCCCAGCTGGTTCAACAGTGCCCTTAAAACCACGTTGGAGGTCCCTGTCTCCTCAACCTTGTGCTGAGCAAACTCCATACCCATCAGTCTCCTGTGTCTGCAGTCTCCTCCTTGCTGGAGGAAGTCTCCATCTTATAATCCCTTTATCCAGCTTTTGTCAGTCCCCAGAACGTTCACGATGTAGCTGAACTAAGCCAGTTCCTCTCTCAGCCCATCTCATCCCACCTGGTTAAAGACCAGTTTTTCCTTTCTTGGATCTTTCAGCCTGCATACATCAGGCAACTTCTCTGAGCCCGTTTCCTCACTTGTTAAACTAAGATCATCATAGCCCCTATTCTATGGAATTGCTGTGGAGACTAAATGAATTTACCACTGCAATGATGTAAAGTAATTAGCCTCCAACTAATAAAAATAAATGAAAAAAAAAATAAACCACTTTGCACACAGTCCCTCTTCCAAGGTGAACAAATGTCACTCGTTATTTTTATCAACAGATGACTTTACTTCCTACTTTGAAGATGGAGATCACTGTTGAGGATCTCCTAAACTTCCCTGTTAGTTTCAAAATGTTGCTCCATCATCAAACCTTCCTTCTTCCTTCATTCCCACCTTCAGTGCATTGAAGCAACAACTTCTCTCATGGCTTTTGATTCCTTTTTCAAATCTTTTTTTAGACCTGTTGGTTCTTCATTCTGTATTTCTGTTCATGATATGCTTTCAAATACCAGAATTGTATATGGCATTACAGTCTTTCTTCCACTGACTCTAATTGGATCCAGAGTTATCACCCTATTTATATGTTTCATCCTGTATTGCTGTCTGAGATGGACTCTTCCCTAACTGGGCTTCCTTGACCCCACAAAGGGTCTGCGTTCCTGTCACATACTGGCATTCCCAAGGTGCAGCTTGCAGCACCATCCCTTTCCTCTCACCAGGGACTGGAGAGGCCAGCCTATGTTGTACACCAGGACACAAGACATACTTAATTCAACCTCCTTTGCACAGCCATCATAAAAGTGCCCCATTGTAGTAAAAAGTAACTTGACATTCTGATGACAATTCAGCAGCATGCTAGCAATGCATTTGCTTTATATCCATGTGTCCTGGCATGCCAGTTAAGGATTTTATCTTAGATCTTGCTCTCCCGTTTACTGCTGTCTTCAAGGTCTTCCATTTGTAACTCAAAGAACAGCCACTCTGGGGCTGATCACTTGCTCTAAGGCTGTTTCAATGATCCGAAGGAACCAGAGGAGGGTTTGGGTAGGAATACCGTGGGGAGGAGGGAATTTGAAGAAGTGTCTCTCTAGGTCAGAGACTGTCACTTGGAAAGACTCATATTTGTACTAGAAAGCAGGCAGAAGTGGAAAGAATGGTTTGCATTCAGAATTTTGGAAGAAGACTGAAGAGTGAGGGATTCTGACAGATGCACAGAGATCTTCTCTCACGTCAACAGCCTCTGTGTAGCCCAGCTCAATGGAACCTATGTGATCATTCAGCTGAAGCAGCACCAGTCTTGGGAGGGATGGCATCCCTCCGAGCAAGTGCTTAATGAGAAACCTTCATATGGCTTCTAGGGTGATGCCACCAAAGGCAGCCTGTGCAGGAGAGGAGGGAATCAGGTGCGTGCCATGTGATGGTTCTGAAGACTCTGGTCTCCCCAGACTCAGGCTACACCCTGCCCCCCAAGAGATCCACAGAAACTGTTAGAACTCCTCTAGGAGATAGGAGAAACCAGAAGACTCCAGAAGCACTGAAAAAGGAGGAGCAGGGGAGCAGGACCCCAAAAAACACTGGAGACTGAAGAGAACCAACTCAGTGAAGAAGAATTCAGATGCTGGGAAAGTTTTCATGCTCTGTAGTGGTAAAAACTGTGAGAGTTGGACCATAAAGAAGGCTGAGCGCTAAAGAATTGATGCTTTCAAACTGTGGTGCTGGAGAAGACTCTTGAGAATCCCTCGAACTGCAAGGAGATCAAACCAGTCAATCCTAAAGGAAATCAACCCTGAATAATCATTGGAAGAACTGATGCTGAAGCTCTAACACTTCAGCCATGTGATGCAAAGAGCTGATTCACTGGAAAAGACCCTGATGCTGGGAAAGATTGAGGGCAGAAGGGAGAAGGGAGTGACAGAGGATGAAATGATTGGATGGCATCATTAACTCAATGGACATGAGTTTGAGCCAACTGCGGGAGATGGTGAAGGACACGGAAACCTGGTGTGCCGCAGTCCATGGTTCACAAAGAGTTGGACACGACTGAGCAACTGAACAACAAAAGTGGCAAAAACAGCAGTAACAGAAACAAACATATGAAGCTCCACACCTCCCCCTAGAAGCATCCATGCATTACAGAATGGCCTGGCAAAGGAGGAGTAGATATATGAATCTTACATCCTCAGACTTGGTTAAGAGGGGTCTTGATGTCCTGGTGACAAGTAGGTGACCACTTTGTCCGCACATGTGGCATCTAGGCCTTGGCTGACCATCTGTTATATTTCAGAAATGATCCCATACACCCATACGTCCATCAAATGTGATGTGACTTGGGGCACTGGGCCATGAGTACAGATGGTTCAGAACAAATTCCCACTGTTAGAATCAGGCCCGAACACTGGGGAGATGATAGCAAAGTTTCTGATGAGACAGTAAAGAAGCCGGGGCTCCTTCTGTCCTATATCAGAGCTGTCTCCCACCTCGGCCCGCAGTAAGGCCCCTCAGCCAGCCTGCTTATCATGAGTCAAATACCAGAGAAGAAAGCCTGATGGGCCCCAAGTTGGACTTGGTTTTGACTACATTTCCTGATTTTTTCCTTTGAACAGTCTCTCTTCTCTGTGGGTGTGACTTGTTCCTGAATAAAGTAAACAAAGAAATCTGTTACTATTTATGGGGGCTATTTCTCATAATGAAAATAATAAGTGTGATAAGCTTTGCTTGTAAGCCAGTCATCACATACTAGTGCATGCTCCCAGCCCTTTGGGCAGGAAGTCTGAGCTGGATTGTGGGCTGGAGAGTGGGTGGCGAGTGGCCAGTGAGGCAAGGTGGGCAGTTGGAAGGCAGTTGTTAAAAGTTTACAGAACACTCTAGGGGTGTGGGAAACCTACCCTTACTCTCATAGATAAAGAAAGAATAGGCCCCAAGACCTGCACTGTCCAATAATATAGTAACCACTTGCTATGACTGGCTACATACATCAAAATGAATTAAAATAAATTAAATTCAGTGCCTCTTCACACCAGCCACATCTCAAGTGCTCAATAGCCCTTGAGGCTCGTGGCTAGTAATAGACAACATAGAGTATTTCCATCATCACAGAAAGTTCTATTGGTTGGCACTTTAAATATGAGATGAAACAGGCCATAAAGGTGGGAATATCATTTTATTAAATAGAGAAACCAAACTGGAGGGTCCAGAGAAGAAGCGGCTTCTGATGGCAGAGTTAGAAGTTCAGCCTTGATCTGAGAGGTTAGAGGGAGCCATCTCACCTACCTGAGCAAGAGAGGTCTGTGATAAAATAGTCAAGTGATTTAATTGAACTGATTAGGCTGCACTCTAGTCTGCAGGTGAGGGAAGGCGAGATGAGACATAGAAAAAAAGACACAGAAGAAGTTCCACATTCTCAGTGATGAGGTTTCTGCAGTAGAAGTTAGCTGTTTTTTGCCCCAAATTGGAATGAGAAAAAATTAAAGGAGGAAGTTTAAACAGAGAAGTCAGCTGGGGAGGCATTATCACTTCCTTTCTTTATCTTCTCATCTTCTGACCTCTCTCCCTCCAGATAATCAATCACAAAATCTTTTAAGGTCTACTTCACAGATGTTTCTGCCAACTTCTCTCAACTCTGCATCAGTTTAGATTCTCTTTTAGAAGCTGTGAACATGTGAGTGAGATGGGAATAGTTCGGTCAAAGCCAGAACTCTCTGAAGATATTTTCTCAATATGTTGATCTGAGCAGTGCATTAGTCTGGAAACCTTGTTTAAATAAATTTGAAAAGGGAGTAGAAATTACATGGCCAGCCCCCAGACACCCTTTCCTGAGCTGTGGACTC